ACTTTAGCTCTTCTATGAGAAGAGCTACTTTAGCACTTCTATGAGAAGAGCTACTTTAGCACTTCTATGAGAAGAGCTACTTTAGCTCTTCTAGGAGAAGAGCTGCTTCAGCTCCTCTAGGAGAAGAGCTGCTTCAGCTCTTCTAGGAGAAGAGCTACTTCGGCTCTTCTAGGAGAAGAGCTACTTCAGCTCTTCTAGGAGAAGAGCTACTTCAGCTTTTCTATGAGAAGAGCTACTTTAGCTCTTCTATGAGAAGAGCTACTTTAGCTCTTCTATGAGAAGAGCTACTTTAGCTCTTCTATGAGAAGAGCTACTTTAGCTCTTCTATGAGAAGAGCTACTTTAGCTCTTCTAGGAGAAGAGCTACTTTAGCTCTTCTGGGAGAAGAGCTAGATTACCTCTTCTGGGAGAAGAGCTACTTCAGCTCTTCTAGGAGAAGCGCTACTTCAGCTCTTCTAGGAGAAGAGCTACTTCAGATCTTCTAGGAGAAGAGCTACTTCGGCTCTTCTAGGAGAAGAGCTACTTCAGCTCTTCTAGGAGAAGAGCTACTTCAGCTCTTCTAGGAGAAGAGCTACTTCAGCTCTTCTATGAGCAGAGCTACTTTAGCTCTCCGATGAGAAGAGCTACTTTAGCTCTTCTATGAGAAGAGGTACTTCAGCTCTTCTAGGAGAAGAGATACTTCAGCTCTTCTAGGAGAAAAGCTACTTCAGCTCTTCTATGAGAAGAGCTATTTGAGCTCTTCTATGAGAAGAGCTATTTGAGCTCTTCTATGAGAAGAGCTATTTGAGATCTTCTAGGAGAAAAACTACTTTAGATCTTCTACGAGAAGAGCTACTTCAGCTCTTCTATGAGAAGAGAGCTACTTCAGCTCTTCTATGAGAAGAGAGCTACTTCAGCTTCTCTTCTATGAGAAGAGCTACTTTAGCTCTTCTATGAGAAGAGCTATGTGAGAAGAGCTATGTTAGCTCTTCGATGAGAAGAGCTACTTTAGCTCTTTGATGAGAAGATCTACCTCAGCTCTTCGATGAGAAGAGCTTCTCTAGCTCTTCTATGAGAAGAGCTACTCTAGCTCTTCTATGAGAAGAGCTACCTTAGCTCTTCTATGAGAAGAGCTACTTGAGCTCTTCGATGAGAAGAGCTACTTTAGTTCTTCGATGAGAAGAGCTACTTTAGCTCTTCGACGAGAAGAGCTACTTTAGCTCTTCTATGAGAAGAGCTACTTTAGCTCTTCTGGGAGAAGAGCTGCTTCAGCTCTTCTAGGAGAAGAGCTGCTTCAGCTCTTCTAGGAGAAGAGCTGCTTTAGCTCTACTATGAGAAGAGCTACTTTAGCCCTTCTATGAGAAGAGCTACTTCAGCTATTCTCTGAGAAGAGCTACTTTAGCACTTCTATGAGAAGAGCTACTTTAGCTCTTCTAGGAGAAGAGCTACTTTAGCTCTTCTATGAGAAGAGCTACTTCAGTTCTTCTATTAAAAGAGCTACTTTAGCTCTTCTATGGGAAGAGCTTCTTCAGCTGAGCTTCTTCAGCTCTTCTATGAGAAGAGCTTAAGCTCTTCTATTTTTCATCTCCCTTTCTCTAAAGGTTTCTCTGTTCCTTCGTTTTTGTTAAAATTTCATTTCCGTTTCAGGTTTATTTTTTTTATAATTTTCCGTTTTTTTTTTTTATTCAGTTTTGAATCCGCAAATCACCCAAAGCCCCAACCGCATTATTGGCATCCAGCCTCATTCATTAGCATTTAACCATAAAACCCGAAAAACAAATCGGAAACTAAGTATTTTTCGCATTGCCCTCGGTTTCTCAACACGGGAGAAGTGGTAACTTTTTGTTTCACTTTTGTTGTTTTATTTTCGGATTTTTCTTTATTTGCGGTTGCTTAAGCGAGGAGGCAAACATTTAAAGAATTTTGCAAAACAATTTAAATCCTGCAAAAGAAAGGATTCATTCGTTTCATTATTCAAATTTTTCAGAGGAAGAGTTATTTCCTTCCTTCCTCCTTTTGGAAAATAAATTGAAATGGAAGTTTCTCAAAGGAAGGGAAGGCAGGAAGGATATTTGTCGGGAGGAGGGGGTATTAAGAAAGGATAACTTCCGAAAATTTGTGTGTTTTGCAAACATTTTAAGTTTATGACTTTGTAAACGCCTTTGCTGCGCTGGGTCACCACAATCCAGGCGTACCTTGGGGAATTTTTCCGGCGAAATGGGCGTGCTTTGTCTTGCCGATTGTATTATGGCCATTTAATGGTGATTTTATTGTTTTAAAATATGGTCTTAAGAAGGGAGGAGGACAGGGAGGGGGGAGGGATTCGGTCCACCAAATGATGTTTGCAAAAGGGGATGTTCGGCTGCTAAATTATGTGCTAATGATAAACTCAGGTGATTTGTGAATATAATTTATGGGAGCAAAGGGAAAACAACTTTTCCGAATACACAACTCAACCAAGACGCCTATTGAGATAAGGGATTTAGAAAAGCTTTTCATTCACCACCATAGGATATTCGGGATGGAGTTTAGCTACATCATGAGGCATTTAAAAGATATTCAAATGATTTAGGCGATTTTTTTTTCAAATTAGGAGAACATTTGAGAGAAAGATTGTCGTCTGTTGGCTGATAAGGGAGAGAAATGAATTAACAAAGTTTTATTTGAAATAAAAGGAGAGCAATAAATCTAAAGAGAATTGTTGGAGAGGTTTGAAAAGGGTTCGAGAGGTACATAAAAGGAGTTTTTAAATGATTTTTATGGAAATATAATGGATGCGGAGTTTTAAGTAAAAACAAGTTTAAAAGTAATAGTCGGTTTTGCCGGCAGATATATACCCTCAGCCAATGTTCGATTATTTAAATATATTTTGGCATCTGTCATGATTATTCGAATTGTTGACCCACCATGGATTAGGTTCCAAAGGAATGGGCCAATATCGACCATTTCGTATCAGACCTAAATAAGGTGAGATAAATAAATCTGCGACAAAGTCAAACGCCATAATTTTTAATCTATTTTTTAAATTTCTTGAATGAAAGCAAAAAAATGTCGGAAATAGCATCAAATTTAAGAATAAGTTTAGATTTGTTCGAATTGGTCACGTTTGGCACGAATTATTGCCTTCAAACGGCCAATGAAACCTTCACACACTATTTGAATGTTGCTCTGCGGTATTTTGGCCCATTCCCGGCGAAGCGTTTGCTTGAGGTGATTGACACTTTGGTATTTTTTAGTGCCAACCTTGCTTTCCAAAATACTCCAGACACAACGAAGTCCAACGGATTGGTATCCGGAGATTTTGGTGGCCATTGTGCGCGGGTGGCGCGTGCTCTGAGTGCGATGATACCTGGAGTCCTGTTGTAATGTTCAAAGTCTGCGGCCAAAATTTTCGCGTGGCCAAGGCTATAATACACCCTCCAGAATATTTTCGCGATAATATTCGGCATTTTTTCCTAATGCCATGGCCGATTAATACGAGCGTAGAACGACCACCGGCTGTTATGGCGGCCCACACCATCACCGTGGCCGGCGCCAACGCTTGAGTTCTGGTGGCCAACCGAAGGTGCACATTTTCAGCTGACCTCTTTGGCAAGTAAACACGAGCGGATCATTTTGTTTGTTTACAAACAGCTGGACAACGAATGTTTTCGGATGTCATCGGAGAAAACCAAATTCGGCAGTTCACCACTTTCGGCCAAGCGAGCAACTCTTTAGCTCTTTTGAGTCTATTTTCTATCTGTTGCGGTGTAAGTTCTTGCACTTTTTGGAATTTCAATGGCTTTACCCCGAGCTCAGTTTTCAATATTTGCCGAATGGAATATTGCGATTTGTTCAGCTCACGAGCCAATTTTCGGCCACAACGACGCGGGTTTCGATCAAGTCGCTTCTTTACTTTTCGAACCATTTCTGGTGATGTTGCTGTTTTCATCCGTCCACTTCCTTAACGTCGGGCTACACTATCAGTATCGGGATAACGAGCGATGGTACGAGACGCAAAAGATTTATTCGCATTTTAATGATGGAGCGCTCTAACGATAGCCTCCTGTGGTTTTCCAGCCAAATATAAAGAAATCACACTATCGCGCTTCCGCGAATTCCATCACGAACAACTTTTTTTCTAGAAAATTCTCACCCGAAATGCTTTTGTAGGCTTGTAAACAATATAGAGAGCTGTCCCTGGAATAATTCTAACAGCTGTCGGACGAGTGACTTAGAAATGACAGCAATCTGAAGTTTTTTTTTGCAGTTTTTTCATTTCATTCTCCATTTTCATCCTCTAAATATTTTGCGATCATCACATTAAAAAAAAAAATCTGGCCCTAATCCCACCTCCATGAAAAATTCCATGGGGATTATCATCTGATTGCCACTTATATATAATACCCCCAAGATATGGGAGGACGGACGCACATAGCTAGATCGGCTCAGCTCGGCGAGATAGGAATATCTTGGACTAATGTTTACGGTGTTACAAACTTTTTAGCCAAATCAAATTTTAAAAATTCCCCGAACACATAGTGTTGTAGAGTATATAAATATTTATTATTAAATTTATTTAAAATAAAAAAAATTAAATCAAAAATCTGACACTTTCCTCTTTTACTTTTTATTTTTATTTTATTAAACAATAAATACCTATAAAATATAAATAACTTAAAAAATCCCCTTATCTATCGCCCCTACCTCATAAATTTTCAATTTTCTTTGAAACGACCTTGCTTATCTATTTCCACATATTATGCCCCTCTTCCCCTCCTCTATTTCTCCAACTATTGAAAATATATCTTATCATTCTTGGCAAAGTTAACATTTAACTTTATCGGTCCACTTAAATTTATCATAAATTATTTATTATTTTTCCAAACTCTCTCCCCCCCTCCCCCCTTCCTCTCCGCACTCTTTATGGCTCTTATCAAAAATTTTAACAATTCACACCTATTTATAAAAAATTTTCAAAAATAATATTTTGATAGCAATTGAAAAAGTCTTTAGGTATTAGAAACGATTTGCGACACTTACCACCTTCCGGCTCTGAGTCATCGATATAAATCATATTGGTCTTGTTTTCGTGGTGTTCTCGCAAACGGGTACCTATTTTGACGGTTTTGTTTTCTGGAGTGATGGAAAATAGAAATAATCCAAAATCTAGTAAATGGAGACTAGTTTGTTGCTTTGTTGACAATAATATTGGACGGAGAGATTTTTTTCAGGATGTCGAGTGTACAGAGCTTGTTTGGCAATATTTTCTTATAATATTTAATAATATAATATTTTTTTTTATATATAAATATTTTTATTTATAATATTTTTATTTTGAGTATTTTTTGTATGGCACTTGTTGTTGTTATAAATTAATTCACAAACACATGAATATATATTTATTTTTTTTTTTTATTTCAGACAATTATTTTATTTCACTGTAAAGAGAATTTAAAGGGATTTGTTTTTGAAATTAATATTTTTATTTTTTATTTTAAAACTTTAACCAGGGCATATAATTTTATAAACATTTTTCACTTTTTATTTTGTTTTTAATTTTTTAAAATTGAATTTTATTTTGTTGAGATAGATTTTTATATAAATTCTTATTTCATAAAATTATGAAAATCTATACAAATTTTTATTCCAATAAACATTTTACACTTTTTATTTATTTTTTAAAATTAATTTTTGTTTTGTTGAGATAGGTTTTTATATAAAATTTTATTTAATTGATATTTTTCCTTTTAATAACATGTGACAGTGGCCGAGCGGAGTGGTCTCTCATTTTTCACTTTTAATTTTGTTTTTCAATTCTCAAATCTATTTTTTATTGCAATCAGTTTTTATATAAAGTCTTATTTAATTAATATTTTTTACTTTGAATAACTTTTGGCAGTGGCAGAGAGGACTGGTCCTCTTCTAAGAGACAGGATGTTTCTCTTGTAGAATATGGGACACTTTTTCCAAAGAAGATCAAATAGTGTTCACATAGACGGTCAAATAAATAGTAACACATATCTTCAATGGCAAGATCTTCTTGTCCTCAATGGAAAAAAATCCCGAATTTCGGCAGGAAAACTTGCTGGTGTATCTGAGAAGACCAGAAGGTACTCTTTCTCTCATAATAACAATAAAAAAAAAAAAAAAACAGTACATAACATGGTACTCTATGAAACAATTTTATCGTCCTTTTTATATTATATACAAAAGAAAACACATTTCCAATTTTCCCGTTAGTATAACAGTTAACGATAACTGTTATACTGGTGTATAACAACTGAAAATGTCTGAAATAATTCTAAAAATGTCGAAAGGGACTGTAATTTCAAAAATTTTCTTCAGTATAACAGTTTATGATAACTGTTATACTGCTGCAAAACACTAGAAATTGCCGAGATATTGCTATAAAATTTGAAAGGAATTGAAATCTGATATTTTTATATAGTATAATAGGTTAATTTAACTGTTATACTGCAGTATAACAGTTTGAATTTTAAAGTTTTTGCAAGAAAAAATAATTTGGATGCTGAATTGAAATATTTTTAGGGTTAGCTATGAGAAAAGCATCTTGTATTCAACTGGAAAGAATCTTATCTTCCACGAGGAGGTGTTTCTGGTGTATCTGTAAAGGTACTACCTTCTCTTAGGAGACAACATGTTGTATAACACTTGAAATTATCGAGATATTGCTAAAAAATGTTGAAAGGAATTAAAATGTGATTGTTTTATGAAGTATAACAGTTTAGTCTAACTGTTATACTGCCGTATAACAGTTGGGATTTTCAAGTTTTTGTAAGAGAAAATTCACAGGAAGCTGAATTTAAATAGTTTTAGGGTAGGTTATGAGAAAATCGCCTTGTATTCAACTAGAAAGGCCCTGATCTGCCACAAGAAGTGGTTGATTAGAGGGGGATCTGACCTTCCTTCTCGTGGGAGACAACATGTTATTCTATGTGACCAAAGGGAGAGCTGTTTTAAAAATATCAAAAGGGATTCAAATTTCCAAGATTTCCTTCAGTATAACAGTTTATTGTAACTGTTATACTTGTGTATTAAATTTGAAAATGTGTGAGGAAATGCTAAAAATATTGGAGTTGAATTTAGACAATTCTTTACTGTATAAAACTGTTTATTATAACTGTTATATTCTGGTATAACAGATTGAATCTTCTATTTTTAGATTAGAAATTTTTAAAAACACAACATATATAAAAAAATAGGATCTGCCATAAAGATAACATGGTCTTCTTTAAAAAAGGATTAATGTTTAAAATTTTTACCTTTGTATAACAGGTAACTGTTATACTGGGCCTTCTAATGATTCAGGTAAGACTGGAACATAATGTCCCTCCATAAAAAAAGAATCAAAAAGGCTTGTTTTATAAAATAACATGTTGTTCCAAAAGACCATTGGTAAACCGTACTTTAAAATATTGAAAAGAATCCAAAATTTCAAAAATTTCCGTTAGTATAACAGTTTACAATAACTGTTATACTCGTAAGTAACACTTGAAAATGTGTTTAAAATGTTAAATTCCTTGAAAGGCATCGGATTTTGACGCTTTAATACAGTATAACAGTTTGATGTAACTGTTATACTGATGTATAACAGTTGCAAAAGTTTGAGGTATTGCTAGGAACGTTAAAAGGGTTTGAATTTTGACATTTCCATACAGTATAACAGTTTGGTTTAACTGTTATACTGCAGTATAATAGTTTAAATTTTGCATTTTTTGCAAGGGAAAATACAATGGATGTGGAATTTAAATAGTTTTCAAGGCCACGGCACATAAAAGCTGTTAGAAAATATTCATTTCATTAAAAAAATAATTTTTAAATTTCCATTTTTTCAAATATTTTTATTACATTTTTTAATTTTTTTTTTTGCTCAAATATTTTTGAATATTTTTTTTTCTCAATTTTGATTGAATTTTTACTGCTGTTATGTGTATTTATTTATTTTGTTATTCACTAATGATTTATTAATTTTTTTCCCATTTAATTTTGTTTCCATTAGCTTTGCTTTTGTTTCGTTACATTTTTTGTTAATTTCCGTTCATTGTCGGATTCTACTTTTTTGTTTTGCATACAAATTGTTATTTTTTTGTTTTATGTTTTCATGTTTCATATTCCGTTATGTTTGATATTCATTATTATTATTTTCTTGTGATATTTCTATTATATTTTTTTCGGGATGTTGTTGTTATTATTTTTTTTGGTATTTTTTTGATTTCTTTATTGAAAAACGAAATGAGAAAGGAAAAGCACTGCCACTAAAATAAATTTCAGGAAAACGAAACGAAGACGATGACGTTGTTGGTGTTGTTGTTGTTGTAAACATTAATGACGTTTCTGCCACTGCCTTACCCCGTGCAGCCGTACGTGCGTGATGTATGGCAGGCATGTGCTTTTTTTTTCAATTCGCTTGTTTCGTGTGCCCCGTGTTGTGCCCGGCATCAAGTTTTACTTCGAACTAATTTTCTTGAAAATGTTCCGAAAATTTTATTTTGGCAATTTCGTGTTTTCCCTCGATGTTGCGGAATCTTTTGTTAGGCGATTTTCTTTTCAAAATTCGGGTGTAGGTGTGTCTCTATGTATGTGTGTGTGTGTTTTTGGGCATGGGGTTGAGATATGTTTTGTTGTAGTTTTATATTATTTTATTCTTTTTTGGGGAGAGATTGGCGGAAATATAGGGAAATGTGCTCTGTGTTGTCGGTGGCTAATGGTTCCCTGGTACCAATTGTGTTGCCAGTTTTGTTTTTGTTGTTGTTTTCATTATTTTTTGGTGTGTGGTCAAAGTCTCAATTTTGTTCTGTTTTCTCTCTTGCTCTCTTGGGGGGAATTGATATTTAGTTGTGGTCTTTTGATGCTTTTGTTGTTGTTTTTGTTATTATTCTATTTAGCTACTAACTATAACTCGTGGCCGTTGTAATTCTCATATTGTTTTCCTATTTCCTTTGTTACGTTTTATTTTGAAAGCGCGCGTCCCGATCTTTGTGTTGTTCTTTGTACGGCGTTTCTATTTTGTTTGAGTGATTTTTCTTTTGTTTCTCTGTTGGCAGAATTGTTCGACGTTGTTGTTTTGACTTTCCAACTGATTTGATAGCGTAAAAAAAACCAAATTCTTTGTTGTTGCCTTTGCCACCACCACCACACCACACCGCACTGCCACTGCTGCTGGTCGTCTTTGTTTTTTTGGCCAAAACACAAGAATTCTAAAAATAAACAAAAAGTCAAAGTAGACAATAAAATAAACAAATTATTTTTTGGTATGGTCAGACGTACGTATGAAAATTCTATAATATATAGATATAGATATATAGGTAGGTAGTTAGGTTGGTAGGCCCATGTGAATATATCTTGAAAAAAAAAATTATTCAAAAAAAAAAAAATCAAATATGGACAACGAGATCGGCGACTTGCCTCCCCCAAAATGCAGTAATATTCAAACTTAAAAAAATTTCAATACTTTTTTTCGGATTTGTTGTTTATATAGCTGTCATAAAATGTTAATGCATTAAATTTTTTCTAATGGCTAGCTAATATTTCTTTTTTTTTGAGGAAAAGTGCACCCCCAGACTGAAAATTCGAAAGTTTTGTTTATTAAGTGTGTAATGGCCAGGAAAATTTGTTGAACGGAATTTTTTGTTAGTAAACACAGAATGAGATATTACTAAAAAAGAGGAAAATTTGAAAATTTTAACTATTTTTTCGAAATTATAACAGTTTTCGAAAACTGTTATAGTGCTGTATAACAGTTTCAAATGAAGGGATTTATTCTAGAAGCAATTTCAAGGAGAAAATATACTGGTTTTACTAAAAGTAAAGAGTATAACAGTTACAAAAACTGTTATACTCAATAATATAATGGTGAAAATTGAAGTTTTCAACTAAAAATACGATTTACACCCAATACATTTTAAGATTCATAATTTCTTACCGAAGAATTTCGATTGTCTCTATAGTTAAATAACTGTTATAACATGCCCTCTCTTTTATAACACATTTTCAACTGTTGTAAGTTGCGAAATGGAAATTTTTGTCAACCAACACAATGTAAAATAACATCAAAATTTATGAAAATACATAAATTGTAACTTTTTTCAAAATTATAACAGTTTTCGAAAACTGTTATACTGCCGCAAACAAGTTCTTAGTACATATAATTTATTCCAGATGGGATTTTAAGACGACAATATGTTGTTTGCAATATATATACAGTTAACGAAACTGTTATACTCAATTTTTAACACTAACAATTTTAATTTTTCAACTAGAATAATGATTTTGAGCAAAATATGTTATTATTCCTAATTTTTTACTTGATTAATTGTATTGTCTTATTTAATATTTAACGGTTATAACTGCCCTTACTTTTATAACACATTTGCAACTGTTATATTTGATGGAATTGAATTTTTCTTTAGCAAAGACAAAATGAAATAACATCAAAATTGATGAATATTCATAAATTGTAACTTTTTTAAAAATTATAACAGTTTTCCAAAACTGTTATACAGCAGTATAATAGTTTTAAGTACTTATAAGTATTTCCAGAAGAGTTTTTAAGACAAAGATAGGTTGGTCTTACTTTCAAGAAATATTGTAACAGTTACCAAAACTGTTATACTCAATTTTTTAACAAGAAAAATTTTAATTTTTCATCTTGAATAAAGGTTTAAACAGAAATGTTATTATTCCTAACTTTTTACTTGGTTGTCGGAACTGTCTGAATAAATATTTAACTGTTATAATATGTCCCTTCTTTTATAACACATTTCCAACTGTTATAAGTTGTGAAATGGAATTTTTCTTCAACAAACACAAAGTGCAAAAACCTCAAATTTGATAAAAATACATAAATTATAATATTTTTTCAAAGTTATAACAGTTTTCCAAAACTGTTATACTACAGTAAAATAGTTTAATGTACATATAATTGATTTCTGATGGGGTTTTAAGACGACAATATGTTGGTTGTACTCTCAAAAAATATTATAACAGTTACCAAAACTGTTATACTCAATTTTTTAACAAGAAAAATGTTAATTTTTCAACTAAGATATTGATTTTGAGCAAAAAATTTATTTTTTTATATTTTACTTGGTTATTTGGACTGTCTAAATAAATATTTAACTGTTATAATGAGACTATTCTTTTATAACACATTTTCAACTGCTATAACTTCAAAAGATTTTGAAACTAATTGAGATATGAACATTCTAGGCCTAATTAAAAAAAATATTTGCTCAAATATTAAAACATTTTTGGACATTATAACAATTTTTCCAAACTGTTATACTAGAGTGTGGCAGTTAAAAATGCATAACTTTGTCGAGGAACGTATTTTTAAGCCGTAATAGGTTATAAAAAATACATAACAATAGCTTTCCGCAATTTTGATGCATTTTTAAAGACTCCTCAAATGCGTATAACAGTTTGTATAGCCTAAATAGTCATAAAATGTTGACAGGAAAAATTATCTGTAAATGTCCAAAAACTGAAGAGTTAATGAGGACGATCCTCCACCAAGATATCATTAATTTATCGAGATTTTCTAATAATTTCTATGGAAAAGCCTTTGAACATATAATTAAACGTTTTTTTGCAAACTGTTATACTGTGTCGTATAATAATAAATAAACAATTCCGAAGGCTAAATAACGTGGGGGAACCGTTAAAAAACAGTAAATTAATCAGTTTTCGAATTTAAAACAGTTTCATAAAACTGTTATAAACTGTTATACACAAGTTTTCTTCATTTTTTCAATGAATTATGTCTTAAAAATCATTCCTGTGAGGTTTTCTATTTTTGATTTCTGTTTTAATGTATCTATTTAATGCGGATTTTATCCTTAGTTTCTGCAAACTGTAATACTGAGCACTTTTATAATAAAAAAAAAATTCGAAAAGCGAAATATTGTTAGAACTTTGTAAATGGAGGGAAAATATGCCATTTTTAAATGTATGACGGTGTAATAAAATGATTTGTCCAATGAAAAATGAAAAGGGCCTCCTTTTAACTGTTATACTGTGTAATATATTAAAAATTATTATTATTTTAATTAAATTATTATTGTTAAATGCTTAACAATGTTGGAAACCTTTTAGGAAAAACCCTTTTCTGGGAGTATAACAGTTTCATAAAACTGTTATAAACTGTTATACACGATTTTTTTTAATTTTCATTGAATTATGTCTTAAAAATTATTCCAGTGAGGTCTTCGATTTGATATCGATGTTAATATATCTATTAATCACGAATTTTATACTTAGCTTCTGCAAACTGTTATACTGAGCACTAAAATAATAGAAACACATTTCTAAGAGCGAAATATTGTTAGAAAACTGTTTATCGAGGGAATGTAAGGCATTTTTAAATTTATAAAATTTGAAACAAAGGATTTGCCTAATGAAAAAATGAATTTTTAACTGTTATACTGTGCAATATAGTAAAAATAAATATTTTTAAATGCATAACAATGTTGAGAACCTATTAGGAACTCAAAACTAGTCCTTTTTTCCGTAGTATAACAGTTTCATAAAACTGTTATAAACTGTTATACTCTCAGTTTTTGCTATTTTTCGATGATTTTTGCTTTAAATTACATTCCGATAACATTCGATGAAATTATATATGTCTTTAAATTCAAGTATAAGGTTCCCCAATAAATAAAAATGTTTCGTTTTCTATACCCCTGCCCTAAAATGTTTACAGCCACAAAATAGCATTTGAAAAATTCACCGGTAAATTTCCAGGAAACAAACAAACAACAACAACAACACCAAATGTATTTCTTATCTTTATTAAATGCATCAATTGTTTTTTTTTTTAATTTTCGAGTTAAATTGCAATTGAAATACGATGGCTCATTGCAAACGCCATTTGACTGATAAGAAATGGGTAAATGGAATGGGAACAACAACAACAATGAAAATATCACACCAAGCATTTGTTATCTAGAACCTTAAATTATTACGGATGATAAGGTAGTTAACGTTGCTCACCCTCCAAACCCCTCTCGCCTCTCATCCTCTCTCCCTCTAACTACTAACTTTCACATAATGAAGTCATTTTCTTTTTGTGGGGCCTAATGAACGACGTAATTTTTGAAACCACTTTAGAAGGTGGATGGATGGCGGGGGTTGGGGTGGGAGAATGCTGCATGACATTAACCTAGAATTTAAATGTTATTTGAAATGTTCAATACGATGATGTTGTTGGCTTTTTTCTGTTATTTGGCTATGACGATGATGATATCATATGGTGTGTATGTGTGTGTTATGTTTTGTTTTGTTGTTTTCAATTTGTTAAAATTTCTTTCCACCAGCAACAACAATAAAGAAATTTGCGAAAAAAAAAAAAAAAACAAAACAAATAACATTTTCGTTTTTATGAGCTTATTTCGAAATAAATAAATGACCAACCGCTGCCATTGGTGTTGAAAGGTTTCAGAGGTCAGTTATTGAACGCACAACACACACTGAGACACAGACACATACACATTTCAGCTGGTAATGACGCAGGTTTTTTTGTTTGGGGGTGGCATGAAAAATTACGCCATTCGCTTAATTTGATTCTGACGATGAGGGAAAATGCAACAATTGGTAATGAATTAAAAAAAAGTTTTGTATAACAGTTAATTAATTTAGTGATTGGCAATTATGTTATTGCGATAGGATATGTCAGAAATGAGTCTATCAAAAAAAAAAAAAAAAAAAAAAAAAAAAAAAAAAAAATAAAAAATAAAATAAAATAAAAAAAAGAAATAAAAGTAAAACAAGTAAAAAAACCGTAAGTTCGGCCGGACCGAACTTTGAATAGCCTCCACCATTTGGTACAAATTTGGCAGTTTTCAAAAAATTAAAATCCATTAAAAATTCTGTTAATTTTTTTAGCCGTATATTAAGGTCTATACGACGACGTGGACCTACATACGCAAATTTTGTTATAAGCCTGCACAGAAAATTTTCTGGCAGAGGCTGTAGTATCCATTACGAACTTCAAATACAAAATTTGAAATAATTCCGGAAAATAATGTCGGTAAAATCATCAAAATACCGAATATCGGGAGTTACCGTTTTATGGGGGCCATACGAAGACCTGGACCTGCATAGACAATTTTCTGTCACATACTATTGTTCCCATTACGAACTCTAAATACCAAATTCGAAACAATTCCGTTGAAAAATGTCGCTAAAATCATCAAAATGT